TTCTCCAGGTTTAGGAATAATTCTCCACCACACTCACTTCCACATCTGGGCCCTTGATTCTGGGTCCCACCTCCTATTAGGGTTCCATCACTATGGGTCAAAATTCCTGAGAAAGACAACTAAAGGCATCAAGTTTTTTTTCTGCTCGTGGTTGCAGAGGTTTGGGCCTCTGGTCGGCTACTTCCATTACTTTTAGGCCCATGATAAATCCAAAACATCATGGTGGAGTGGCATGGTAGAGGAAAACCATTCATCCCATGGCAGCCAGGGGGACATTTTGGATCCCAACACAACATTTCTTTTTTAATGAAAGGTAGCATGGCTTTGTTGACGGATTGGCTTCTCAGTCTGCTCTTGTACAGGTTTGCGGAGTCCAAGCAGAACTGCAGATGCACACCTATAACCCCAGAACTCAGGAGGAGGAAGCAGGAGGATCCCTATGAATTCGAGGCCAGCCTGGACCACGCAGGGAGATCTTGCCTCAAAAAAAAAAAGGGGTGTGGGGTGTTGGGGAGATGGCTCAGTGGAATAAGCACTTCCCTAGCAAGCGCAAGGGCCTGAGTTCAATCCCCAGTTCTGGAAAAAAAAAAAAAGTTTGAGGAGTCCAGAGGCCTTTCCTTTTGTACCATGTCTGTCCTTTCTGTCCACAGTGCAGTGCTTGTGCCATTACAGTTATTTTTAAAACTTTATAGATTTTCTGTCCAGTTTTCTCCCTGTTCATGTCATTGAGGCTTCATTCCGTTAGAGAAAAGGCTGCACTTACAAATTCCTTCCAGGAAGGGTCATCTGTACTGCACGCTTTTGCCGCTAACGCTGAAGAGCAAGCCCTTAAGCCTCCTAAAGGCCCCGCTTTAGGAGGCTCATGTTATATTTAACGGGCTTTGGTTTTGTCTTTTTTTTCCCTTCAGCAAAAAAGAAAGGAAGGGCGAGGAGAAACCCTGCGTAGGTGATCCGTGTTCCTCATGCTGCTCTAGACAGCGATCACAGGGTTTCATAGCTATGTAGGAAAGGATACATATGAGCATTTAGAGTTTGTGCACCTTATTGTATTGCTTTTTAAGTGATTCTTGCCTGAGCGCACGAATGGGCAAACAGCCTCTGCCCTCAGCAAGCTCGGGGACCGGAAACGGGGAGGCGCATGCGCGTGCGTGCGGCAGCCGGAAGCGGAGACGTCGGGGGCGGAAGCTGCGCGAGCTCGGGGCGGGACGTAGGTGGGACCGCGCGCCTGCGCCGGAAGTGGGGTCGCGCGCGCGGCCTGCGGGGCGGGGTCACG